ACATTCTCCCCCACTGGTTCCGGTGACCCCCTCATCACTCGTTTGGCATGATATTGGTCTATTCTGTTCTTGAATTTCCAAAGTCCCTCGTCACGTTCCCAACTCCCTTCGTACTCGGGTTGTCCCTTCTACAGGACAAAGTACTCATGCCTCGGGCGGTGTCCTGGCCGTCGAATAACTCTCTCTGCTTGTATGTCCTGGATCTCCTTGTCATATGAGACGGCTACTCCGACTGGCGCTCGGTGAGACTTGCCTCGATCCGGATCCTCTGTATCCTTATGGTACGGCTTGAGTAGGCTAACATGGATAACGGGATACGCTCGGATGGTTGGAGGTAACTTCAATTTGTAGGCTATGGTGCCTACCCGCTTCACGACTCGGAATGGACCCTCGTATCTTCGCACAAGACCCTTGTGCACATCCGCATGGCACAAAACATTGGCCAACTTTGCAAGGACAAGGTCGCCAACTTCAAAGTTCACGTCCCTTCATTTTCGGTCAGCCCACTTCTTGGTCTGCTTACCCGCCTTGTGCAAACAAGCTCGGGCTAAGTCGTGTTGCTCGTGCCAATCCTTGGCAACGTTGTGTGCTGATGGATTGGGCCCTTCATACTTGGTAACAACCTTGTTAGGTGTCAATGGTTGTTGCCTGGTCACGATCTCAAACAGACTTCGGTTAGTCGTCTCGCTCCGTTGTAAGTTGTAGGAAAATTGGGCCACATCCAACAGCTTTGGCCAGTCTCGTTGGTTGGCACTCACATAGTGCCTCAGATAGATCTCTAATAGAGCATTCACTTGCTTAGTTTTCCCATCGGTTTGTGGATGAACTGCGGTGGAAAAGTTCAAGCTCGATCTCATCAGTTTGAACAACTCCGTCCAGAACCTCCCTGTGAAACATGTGTCCCGTTCGCTAATGATGGTTTTCAGTATTCCCACATGCTTGAGGAAAAATCGAGTCGCCTCTATGGCATGACATACCTTGGATGCTGGTATGAACGTCGTATACTTCAAAAACCTGTCAACCACAACCATTATACTTGAAAGTCTATCAGTTTTGGGCAAACCAATGATAAAATCCATGGAAATACTCTCTCATGGGCGTTCAGGAATGGGCAAAGGTTATAGCAGTCCCGCCGGTTTCTTTTCCTCGATTTTATCTTGCTGACACACAAGACAAGTCTTCACGTAGGCCTGCACATCTTCAGCTATGTGCGGCCAATAGTATTGCTCCGATAGTAATGCCAAAGTCCGATCAACTCCCGGATGTCCCGCCCACATGGAATCATGGCATTCCTTCATGAGCTCCTTGCATAACTTCCCATATCGAGGTACAAAGAGACGATTTCCTCGATAATATAGTAGCTCCCCCTCGAGCCAAAGCTCTCTGGTTCGCCCCTCCTTAGCTCCCTCCATAATTTGCTTGGCCGCAGGATCATGGGGCAGCCCTTCTTTGATCCTTTCGAGCAAGGTGCCTTCCACAGTCTCAATGGCGTACCTCTGACTTAAGCCATCTACAATACAGTTCATCTTCCCTGGCTTGTACTCCATGAAAAAGTCGAACTCGGCAAGAAACTCTTGCCAATGAGCATGTTTGGGAGAAAGCTTCTTTTGGGTGAGGAAGTAACTGTTAGCAACATTGTCTGTGAACACCACGAACTTGAACCCAAGAAAGTAATGTCGCCATGTGCGCAAGCAGTGTACAACTGCTATCATCTCCTTCTCATAAACCGAGTACCTTCTCTCGATCTCATTGAGCTTCCGACTCTCGTATGCAACCAGATGTCCCTCTTGCATGAGGACTCCACCAATGGCAACATCGGACGCATCAGTGAAAACTACAAAAGGCTTGGTGTAGTCTAGCAATACCAACACGAGCTCATTCACCATGGCCTCCTTGAGCTTTTCAAAAGCGTCCTGGTATTTCGTGCTCCATTCTCACGCCTTGTCCTTTTTGAGTAGCTCGGTCAGAGGCGTGGCAATCTTGGAATAGCCCTTCACGAACCGTCGGTAGTAGTTGGCTAATCCTAAGAATGCTCGCAATTCAGTTACCTTGGTGGGTGGCTTCCACTCATCTATCGCCCCGATCTTGTCTTTATCCATTTGGAGCTTGCCTCCTCCAACAATATGGCCTAGGAACGGCACTTCCTTCTGCGCAAACGAGCATTTTTCCTCCTTGAAATAAAGCTCATTCTCTCGTAAGACTTGGAACACCCTTCTCAAGTGTTCAACGTGTTCTTCCAAGGTCTTACTATACACAACGATGTCATCAAGGTAAACTACAACAAAACAATCAAGAAAGTGTTGTAGTATCTTGTTCATTAGCGTGCAAAAGGTTACAGGGGCATTGGTGAGACCGAAGGGCATCACAAGGAACTCATATGAACTGTAGCGTGTCATGCAAGTAGTCTTCAGTTCATCGCCTTCCGCTATCCGAACTTGGTAGTATCCGAACCGTAAATCTAATTTGGTGAACCACCTTGCACCACTAAGTTAATCGAATAATTCGATAATCAATGGGATCGGGTACTTGTTCTTCACGGTGAGCTTATTCAAAGCACGATAGTCGATGCACATTCTAAGGGAGCCATCATGCTTCTTCTGGAATAGCACCGGTGCACCAAAGGGTGCCTTTGACGATCGGATGTATCCAGCATCTAGGAGCTCTTTCAATTATCTGCGAAGCTCCTTTAACTCTGGTAGGGCCATTCGATATGGTTCTTTAGCGAGTGGCTCCACATTTGACACAAGCTTGATCTTGTGGTACACCTCTCTCTTCGGTGGAAAATGCTTCGGCAGCTCAGTTGGCATCACATCCCTAAACTCTGCCAATACTTATCCCACTTTACTTGAGACTTCCTCAGCCATTGTGGGTTCAGTTCCCACCAATAAATCCATAAAAGTGGGTTCCTCCTTATGCAACCCCTTTGAGAATTAGATTGTGGACAATATCTTAGCATCGATTCCAGATTCTCGACTTACCGGAACAATGCATTGGTGCTTAGGATCACAAATTACTAAGCAATCAGCAAATGGTAAGTGGAACGCATTAATCCGATCGAGAAAACTAATCTCAATAACAAAATCAAAGTCATCGAGTGGGATTACCTTTATGGACTTTTCCCGATCCATCCTCCAAGACTGGTTTGGATTCCTTTTGCTTCCCCAATAATCGGAACCTCTTTGGTGTTGATGGTTTTAATAAACCCACTTGTCTTCTCTGTACGAAGACCAAGTTTCTGAGCAACTTGTTCGGACAAGAACAACTCTGAGGCACATGTGTCCACCAGTGCGCTCATCTTTTGGCTTACGACGGTGATGTCTACGTACATCAGTCCCTTCTTCTTGCTTCCCTTTTTGACCTCCATGATGCTAAGGATGAACCCAAACTTGAGAGTCTCACTCTCTACCCTATCATTCTCCTTGATGGCAGTAACTTTCACAAGTTGACGACAATCTAGTTTCATGTGATTTCCTCCACAAGTAAAGCACGCTAATTTCCCCTTCTTCTCCCAATGATTGAAGAGCTTTCTGGGTCGATCATTCGGCTTCCCATGATTTCCCATTGGCTTGTGAAAACTTTCTTTGTCATTCTCTCCCCCACTGTTACCTTTGGGTTTCGATCTGGATTAGAGAGAGTCGATCTTCTTTACTTCAAACAGGGCAATGGCCTCGGCTGCATCCAATGCCTTGGAGAGTTCGGTCACTCCCCTCCTCTGGATCTCTATATTGGCCCAACGTTGTAGTCCATCCATGAATACAAAGTACCCTTCTGACTCGCCCAAGTCTGGGATTTGTATCTTGATCTCAGTGAAGTTTTTGACATACTCCAAGATAGAACGATCATGCTTTAATTGCATCAACTTTGCTCGAGCCTCGAGCACAACATTCTTCAGATAGAAATATTCCTTAAGTTCATCCACAAACTCTTCCCACGTCCCGATTGGTTTCGCACTCTCAGAACACCTACGACGCCACCATAACATAGCAACATCAGTAAGATAATTAGAATCAACATTTACCTTGGTGGTATCATCCCCGAGACCCATGCCACGGAAGAATTGCTCCATGCCCCAGATGAAATTCTCCACATCTTGGGCAGTTTGACTCCCCTTAAACTCATTCAGCTTAGGGACGTCGATCCTGGGTCTTGGTGCTTGCGCCTCCCCAGTCACTCCATTCAACACGGAAGCTTTGTAGACAAGCAGCTCGCTCTTGAGCTCATTTACCTCCTGCATTATTTCAGCCCTCATGGCCAAGTACATGCTCTCGAGGCCTCTGATACGCTAGTCTACGTTCTCCGTCAAATCGCTGATGAGTGCTCGGGTTTCTTCACGGAGTACATCCTCTACGTACTCCACTTTCTCCAAGCGAGATTCAACCGAGTCTTGAGTCTCTTAGACTTCATTATATCGATCTTCCAACCTTTCGACCCTTTGTTCGAATGAGTCAACCATATCCTTCGAGTTTGCTCGCTTCTTTGGTATGGCAACATGAGTCACTTCGCTTGTTGGGATCTCGTCTTGGTTTTATTGTGCCATTTCTCACGAAATTAGCTTTGATACCACTTGTTACGCCCTTAGAACTTTGACGCCTCGGAACGTGCGGCCTTAGTCGTCTTCTTAGTGATTGCGACTAAGTAAACCTGAAAATATCCCAAGCAAGGATGCTTAGGATCTCGACGGAAGCTAGACAAGAGAACTAGCACAAAAAGGAATATAAGAAAGCTTTGAGAGAAGAATGCTCTTATGATTTCTCAAAGTGAAGGAGTGAGTACAAATGAGGAGGGGATGCCTCTATTTATAGCTAAAGTTCCCCTCAATGAACGGCTAAGATCTAATTACATCGACGGTCTAGATTGAATCCTACCTACCAAAAATAAGTGGGCATTATCTATACAAATTTAAATGCCACCAAAGTCTTTGTGGCTTCTAGAAGGTCCAAACCCCCCATTTGGGCTACTTCTCATGGGCTAAACTCGGTGGTGGGCTTTGGTCCGTGAAAAATGTCATAGGCAATGGTGCAAACATGAATGGAGTACCATCAATGCCTTTACGGTTCTTCATGCCCTTGTTAGACCTTTCGAGGTACTTTTTTTCCTCAATACTATAGAAATTTAGTACATATATAATTTTATGCTTAAGGTTTCTTATCATGAGTTTCTTTATTGAAGTAAATGTGGCATAAGCTCAAAGGTAGCTTAAAGTAAAAGATTTTAAGTTCAAGTTATTTCTCTTTCCTTTCTTATGGCAGTACTCTTTGAATCCTAAAGTTGCTAAGGAGCCAGTATCGCCGCAACTGGAACTAATTGCAAAAGCAATTCTTGCACCTTTGCTGACAGTGTTGCATCATTTCGTTGAAAAGGTTATTGTTTCCAAACTCTTTTTTTCCATCCTAATTCTCCAGTATCTGTTCAAGAACATATATCTGAATCTCCATCATAAAAGATATTTGGTCTTTAATACAGGCTACAGCTACCTATAGTAAAAAAGAGTTGGAAATTGAGAAGATCCTTCTCTTTATATGCGAATGCTTATATTTTACGGTGAGGAATATCTTTTATCCCTCTTAACTCAAGCAACATTGGATGAATCTGATTAATGCCTTTTAAAACACTAATTTCAGCACTATATGGCTATACAGACTTCAGAAGTTTAATGATCTGAGTAAGAATATGCATGCATTTTAAAATGATTTACTTATTGTCATGTAGTTTAGGGGATGGACAAAAAGATTTATGTTGTGATAAAATTTAATTTAAAAGATTTAATGAAAAATTAAATTATAAGACTATTTGGAAAATGAAAGACTTAATAAAATTAATTTTAAAAAATTTTATGCACCGAATGAAAATTTTTTCTTCACAAACAAGATTTTAATATTAGTATTTATTTTTAAAAAATAAAAAAGTTTGGGAATAAAAAAATGTTAATTTTATTAAAAAACATTAATTTTTTTTATTAGTTTACCCTAACAATAAAAAAAATGTTAATTTTTTGTTTTTATAACTAATTTTAAATTTTTTTGATTTATTTAAAAATATATTATTATTTATAAGAATTAAAAATAAATATATTTTAATTTATTAAAAATAGGATCAAATTGAAAGAATATATAAATAATATTGATTATTTGTGTAATTATACCATCCAGAAGAATATATAAATAATATTGACTATTTGTGTAATTATACCATTTAGGTAAGCCTGTTAACTGCTGTTAACAGGCCACGTGTGTTTTCCGTCACGCCTGTTAACGACGAGTGACCAATTTGTAACAAATGATAACGTTAGTGACCGATTTGTAACTTTTGAAACATCAATGGTGAAAACGAAAACTTACACAAACATTAGTGATAATTGGAGTAGTTTACCCTTAATATAATTAATATATTAAATTTATATTTTTAAATAATATTCATAAGAATCATATTTATTTATATAAAATATAATATAATATAAAAAATAATATTATGGTAGTAAAATATTATTTTAAATAATTATATTTTTACAATAATACTATTTATTTATCCCATAAAATTATAAATAGTAAAATATTGAATATTAAAAATATAAAATATTTTAAATTCTAAAAATTAGTAATATTTTAGTAAATCAAACTCTTTGTATATTATTATTATTATTATTATTATTATTATATTATTATTATTATTATTATTATTATTATTTGAGTAAATTATAAAAAATAAGAATTTAGAAGGATCATTTCAAAAAGAATTCATTAGTCCAAGGGTATTCTTGTCCATAGTGGTGGGAATGTAAGATTACCTAAGAATTTGGAGGTAATGACATTCCTACCATTTTAACAAAAAAATGCTACTATTGGTAATGTAGTATTCTCGGTAATGTAAGATTCCGTGAACCAAACGTATGAATACAATTCTGGGAAAAAATATTCCCCTTGATAACGTCATATTCCGCGAACCAAACACACCCTTATGTTTTTACCTACTGGGATAATATGGTTTTGTTGGGATTTGCGAAGCTCGAATCGATAACTAAAAGGGTTCGCTAAGAGGGGTCGAGTCGGTTCTTTTGTTTAGGGAGTAAGGAGATTGAAAGATAGAAAATTTGCACAGCGATTTATAGTGGTTCGACTTCTCAACCAAGTCTACATCCACTACCTTAGCTCCTCACCAAGGATTTTCCAACAAATTCACTAATTTATTCTTTCTTTTTCAAGGATTAAGAGTAACCTTTACAACTCCCTAGTTTTTCACGGGCTAAACTAGAACCTTTTCCCTAGCTTTTAACAGGATCAGCTAGAACCAAAACCCCTTTACAATGAAAGAAAAATGTAAACAAGCAAACCTCTCTAAGGTAGGTGTTTACAAGATTTAAGCTCACAAGAACAAAATATTTACAAGAGAAAGATGAAATAAGATTGAAAAACTCTTCTCTTGTGTTTGATTGCTTGGATAGTTGTTCTATATATTTTTCAAGTGTCATCAGCTTGTTTTTATAGCTTGAAATGAGTTTGAAGTCGTATATAACCGTTGGGATTCATTTTCTGCAAAATAAAACTGCCCACAACATATAGTATCAGTACTCCTTCAATGAGTATCACTACTACCTTTGTAATATTTGAATTTTTGACCGTTGGGCTTGATATTACTGTAGCAGTATTGATATTGTTGTAGCAGTATCGATACTCATTTTGCATTCGATGTTTTTTAGTATCGGTACTGTTCACACAATATCAGTACTATTCATACAATACAGTATTATTCATAAAAAAATTTGTGCTCAATTTCAACTTAAATGGATTTTGAATTATTTTTTAAAACTTTAAAAACTTTGAATAAATTCAATTCAAGTCCAAAAAATATTTTTCCATAAATTATTATATCAAAACATAGTTCCACAATCTCCCCCTTTTTGATATAACAAAACATTTGAAAATTTGTTTTTTGCAAAACTCCCCCTTAATAAGATGTTTAATGAAAAAGATATCAATTGTTATCAATTGTTTGAAAATATATGAAAATGTTCATCTTTCCCTTTTTCATTAAGAAATTGAATTTTTCTTGGCAAATTTTCCCAGAGGCTTTTTAGAAGAAATATGTCGGGGAGTAGTTTATTATTAAGATGAAGCGAGACTTTTTCAATTTGATTCAGGAGAACAAAATTGTTTATGAATATGAGTGCGAGCTTAATAAGCTTGCTTGATATGTTTCGGAGATGGTTCCCAGAGAGAGATATGTGTGCTAGAAGTTTATTCAAGGTATTCGCCCTCGACTAAGGGAACTTATGCTGACTACGAATATGACTACTTTTCAAGAAGTAGTAAATAAAGCAAAAGATCTGGAAATAGCTCAGGATGATAGAATTATGTTTTATCTGAAGTGACAATTAAATATATCAAGAGCATCATCCTCGTCCTAGTCTAAAAGAGGTCGAGGTTCAAGATATTAGTACCAAAATAAGGCTGAAGGTTGTGTTTCTGGTCGTAGAGGATCTGAGGCAAAGGAAAAGGTCGTCATTCAAAGACACCAGCTACGGGAGCTAGCAGATCAGTTCTGTCCTAGGGACAATACCCATTATGTCAACAGTGTGGAAAGTATCATCCTGGTGTATGTAAAGCAGGATCAGGATCTTGTTTCCATTGTGGAGATACTTGTCATTATATGAGAAACTACCCAATGACAGGATAGAGATATGTTCAAACAGACCAATCAGTGGTAGTGTCCCAGAGAGATGGACGAGGTAGAGGTGGAGGTAGAAGGAGGAGATATTCAGAGATAGCCTCTTAGTAGAGATATGTTCAAACAGACCAATCAGTGGTAGTGTCCCAGAGAGATGGTAGAGGTAGAGGTAGAGGTAGAGGGAGGAGATATTCAGAGATAGCCTCTTAGTTTGATATACGTGCTCCAGCCAGAATCTAGAATATCAAGACTAGTGAAGATTGTGATGATCCAGAGATCATATCAGGCACTTTCTATCTTTATGATGAACTTGTATTTGTTTTAGTTGATCCGGGTTCTACGCATTCCTATGTTTGTTCGAAATTGTTGAGAAAGAAAAATATTCCGTGCTAGAGTTACTCAGATTAGTAGAAATTGCTTGGTAAAGATTCAAGGGGTTTTATTCCCCTTAAATCTTAAGGAGTTGACGTTTGACGAGTTTGAGATTATATTGGGTATGGATTGATTATCTCGACATTATGGTTGGGTAGATTGTCGCATGAAGCGATTATTCATAAAATATGCAAAGGGTATTGAAATAATAGTAATTAGAGAAAAAGAGTTTTTTGCCCAATGAGATATCAACAATGATGGCAACAAAAATGATGGAAAAAGGTTGTACAGCTTTCCTGGCCAATGTGCTTGATACCTGAACATATGAAGTCCTACTGGAGGATATACCAACTAATCGGGAATTTCCAGATGTTTTCCTTGATGAATTACTCGGATTACCTCCTGACCGTAAGGTGAAATTTAAGATTGATATTTTTCCAGGTACAACGTATATTTTGATGGCTTAGTACAAGATGGCTCCAACGAAACTTAGAGAATTAAAGGTACAATTATAGGAGCTACTTGATCGAGGTATTATCAGGTTGAGTGTATCTCCGTCGGGTGCACTGGTACTTTTTCTTAAAAATAAGAATGGATTGATGCGACTATGTATAGATTATCGTCAACTGAATAAAGTGACGATGAAGAATAAATATCCTCTTTCGAGGATTGATGATCTGTTTGATTAGCTCAAGGGTACTTCAATATTTTTAAAGATTGATCTTCGATAAGGATATCACCAGCTAAAGATTAAAAAGGAAGATGTTTCGAAGATGACTTTCAAAACCCTTTATGGTCACTATGAGTTCGTAGTAATGTCGTTTGGATTGACCAATACTCCAGCAACGTTTATGGATTTAATGAATTGGGTGTTTTGGTACATTCATGTGCCCTATGATCAGCACCATTGGTGCACAGGTTATGATTGCACTGAAATGCATCATATATCTCAGTTTCAGTTATGATTGGCACCGCGATGTGCCTAGTGCCCACCTTATATTCTACTCATGTACCTTGTGTTCTCATAAATATGCATTGAGCTATGAAAATGATTATGAAAGGTTTGAATAACTTCAAGTTAGCAGAAAACATGATATGATTATCTTATCAGTTATTATCTATCAGAATTTCCATGAAATCATGAATCATATCAGGTTACCTGAAAGTATGATATGATTATTTTATCAGATATTGTTTATCAAAATTTTGATGAGATCATGAATTAAGATAATTTTCAGGTTACGATGAAGAAATTTACTTGGATAAGTCGGTTTTTTGGTATAATGTTTTATTTAAATTATTTTACTTATGTTTATGATATTTTCATGTTTTATCTCACCTTAGTTTATTGTTGTCTCACTAAGTTATACTTAGCGCGTGATGATTTTCATGCTTAGGTTTTGATAGAGATAAAAACAAGCAGTGGGGAACCTCCCAAGCATCTTTTTGGAAGCTACATCTATCATCAGTA